TCTCACTTCAGCATCTTGAATGAAGGATGGTTTGGGCCAACAAACTTCCACCTTCCATGTCGTCAAAAGCGTGAAAACATTTGCATGATTAACGGCAATAGTCACACTGTCTGGGTCAGGCTCCCCTTGTGCTCTCGCTCTCGCCACTTGTAGGTCAAGGTTAAACTGATAAAATCGGTGAGTCTGCTCTCGCTGTGCCACCAAATCCTCATGGAAAAAATCAAGTTGCTCAACTACTTCCGGCAAAAAAAGTGTGCAAGCTGAATTAGCAACCGTGTCAGCTAGATCATTCCCCAGAGCGTAGTATCTGTGCAACGAATCCTTGATGTCAGCAAGTTTTTGATGTGCTTTAACCTTAACAACCTGTTTATGTGGTGAAAGTATTGGGAATAATGCTTCCAGCAGGTCAAAATCATCATGCATCGCAAGCTCCGCAAGACTACTTGCTGTTCGACAAAGTTGAACCAAGTGGATTGCCATAGCACTATCTGTATGAACCACGCATTCATCAAACGCACGAAACACTGCAATAATCGCCGAAAGTTCTGCCCGGTGAATTTGCTGACGCCCTTTCGTTCTTCCGACTATCAATTTTTGTAGTGTGACTGGCATGGCCCCCGTTAGTTGAAAAGTCGTGGCCAAATCTCTTCTTTGTTCATCACTGTAACTCAAATCTGCAATGACCGCAAATGCTGAGTAACATGTTTCTGGAAAGGTGGGAAACCTGCAGCTTCCATCAGTGTAGAAATTTAACCTCGGCAGTTGCAAGCTTTGGATTGTATGAACCATGTGTTGTGGAACAATTGCATCAGGCATGGAAAACAACAGCGCATCATGAAATTCCCAGTGTGGGTGCAAGTGAATTACTGGAAGTTCAACCAAGTGTGGATTGATCTCCTGTAGCGTCTCCAAGAATGCAGCGTGTTCATGTCTCACGTCTGCAAATGCATGGCATCTGAAGTTGCGATGAGGACGGTCATCACCCTCTTCTCCGCAGTATACACAAGTATTCTCAACATCTGGATTCCACTTGCTTTGTTGTTCACGTGTTTGAAATGCCCCTGCAATCTCCCTTAACAACATCAGTTGTTGCTTTGGTTGAAATTTTCTCAGGACTCTGACAGTTTCAAGTTGATTGATAGGTGGTAGTTGGCAGATTTTGCTCCTATTTGTGTGCATCACTAGCAGCTGTTCTTGCCAGGCTCGTGGCAAACACTTTTCTATATCTTTAAATGGGGTGCTAACAATGTTGACAAAACGCATGGCAGTCACTTGTATTTCACCAGTTTGCGAACAATGGAGTCCCAGTCGCTGCAAATACTCACGCAAGGCGCTTGCTGGTCCACTGGATTGTACATACTTTTCCGATGGTTTTGAGGTGATTTTCAAAAAGGTTGCTTTCATTTGTGGTGAGGCAGCAACCAAAAACTTTTTGGCAGCTTTCATGGCCAAAAGGGCCGTTTTGAGAAAAGGATCAATCGCTGCATCACTCAAGCAGTGTAGAAAAAGGCTGCTACTCATTGTTTTGACACTCTCTCCAATCATAGCATCAGCAATTTGCGTACGGAGAGTCTGCAAATGTCTTTGTCCAACTGCTAACATCTCACACCCATACAAGGCAAGAGGCAAAACGCTGGCTTGGACAACAAATGCTTTGAGGGGAAGCACCCATGCACTAAGCTTGAGGATGTCGAGTCTCGCTTTGGCCTGCTGCATTCTGTTATTCATTATTCCCATTTTTGAGGTACCATGATACGTCATTTGACAGCCTAAATCAGTAGCTTGCAGCATTTCAGAGACACTGTCGCCAGGAAACGCCTCTTGTATCATTTCATTGAACTTCTTTGCACCAGTTGAGCTTGTGCTCCAGGTCCATGTCTTTTTCCAGGATATTTGCAAACCCATCCAATCCACAAATTGTGACGTGCGCAGTGCCGGAGTAATGGTCAAGCAAGCTTCAGGCATAAAAAGGGTCCAATTATCCGCATATGCATTTGTGCTGATGGTATGGGATACTTGTTTAAGCAACTGGATCCAGGATTCTGATACTATCAGCATTGCAACCACCGACCAAGAATCTCCCTCAGGACATCCATTGTTTGTAGACAGCACTTCAGAACATGTGTGAGCGATATCCCAGTATCTACAAAGACTATGGATGGAGTTTTTCCATTTCGTTACCAATCTTGGCGGTAGTCCGTGCTGTATCATCAGGCGTGCAACTTTTTCCCTGTTAAGGAGATTAAAGCACTTTTTAAGGTCCAGTGTAAGACCCGTGATATGTTCATTTAAATATCTTTTGGCCTCAATCAGGGCCTGCAACTGGTAGCTTGCCTCCTGAGCTCCTCGTTTTGGTAGCATACCTGTTATGGAATCGGATAAGATTTTTGTCAAATGCTTGAGGCATCTTTTGGTACAAACTCGTCCCCAAAGCCTATAGATGGTTGCAAGAATTGTTATGGGCCTACTGTTTTCAGCCGTGAACTGTCCTTTTTTTGGGATGGGAACAGTTCTGGCAAGCATCATGTCTTTTGGAAACGAGGTCATACTGGCAACAATCCTAATCAAGTGCAATAGCAACTGATCTGGCAGCATTTTGAGCTCTTTGAATGTGAACCCATCAACTCCAGGAGCGGAGTCTCCTTTGGATTCTGAGATTGCGTTCTTCCAGTCCTCCAAATTTTCTTCGAAATCATCATGAAGACTGGGGTGCAGTGGTAGTTGCGTTTGAAATTCCTGGTGAAATTCGGTATCATGTTGAGGTAGATCACACGTCCAAAACTGCTGCCAGTAATTGGTTAGTGCATCAAAAACTTCAGCCTGCTGAAATGAACATGTGTTCTGGCTTATCTGGACTATCTCCGGCAATTCATGATGGCCATCAAGAAGTCGAATCAAGATACTATCTTGTCTCATCTCAGTGATTACAGCATTCTTACCATCAACAAGAATGGGGGCGTTCATCTGAAATGGCTTATCCCGGTCAATAAAGCATTCATATTGAGACTGACAGTCGAGTTTCAACACGATGGCATCATCTTGGACCGTGGCTTCAACATGCTGAAATGGTCGGAAATCATGGTTCCTGATTTTGGCAAAAACACCACGCTTGTGATTTCTTTACAGTCTATGATGTGTTGAATCTTAGCTTTCTGATCTCTGATTCTATGTTCTTCATGTAGGTGGGATTCAAACTCATGTTTCATAAACTGCTGTGCTAGATTCAGCCAATCTTGTGTGGGAAGTTGGCACGGAAATGGAAAAAGCTCAGGAATATCATTTGCCCATTGGCAAAAGTTTTTCTCATCGGTCTGCCAACGCAAGATTGCCGTCCATTCTTGCCAGAGTTCTATTATAGTTTTTGGCGGTATGGTCTGAATCTGGTCCAATTTGCGGAGTCGGAGTCGCAGTGCATGTAGTCTTCTAATTTGTCGTAGCATCTTTTTTCCGCGATAGGTCGCACATTCAAGAGGGGGTTGATATTCACCTTGTCTCGCCATTTTGGCTGGTGACACCATCGGAAGTAGGACAAATCTCGGTGGTTTGCATCTGCCTCTGCAATGTTTTGGAAGTCGATGTGGTGTAGCAAGTGGATTATTTACGTGTTCAACATGGATTGCATGGTCCACAGTATTTTCAACAAGTTCAGCCCACTGTTGCAAGTCGCATGGTGTGACATCTTTGCATGTAATTTCAGCAGCTTTTTGGATATCTTGTTTATCCAGTGGGAAATCAACCCAAGTCTTTGGGGTCTTCAGGCATTTATGGAAAAGGGGTTCATGGGGGACTTGAAGGACTACAATAACAGGATTATGAGCATCAAAAAGGCCTTGTGGATCAACATGGATTCCAGCAAGCCGTGGAATGAGGCACGGATGTATTACAGCCGTATCCGGTGTTGTAGCTTCTTTACAGGTTTTTGGCATTTCCTGGGCATACATTTTTTCATGGAGTTGCTGTAGTGACATATACCCCTGTGAGGCCAACAAGTCGAATGCATCAAGCATATGCACATCTAAATTGAAGTCACCAACATAGATTGCAGGCAAATTGATGGCTCCAGCCATTCGGATTGCAGTCTGCATCAACTCATTGGTGGCTTGCTTATGCCAGCTGTTAGATCCCGCATAGCCATAAATTGTGAGGACTTGGACAAAAATCGTTCCCAACTGAACAATGGCATGGGTGAGTCTGTCAGGCGCATGTTGAGGTAAGAAATTTGTGGTTAGGGCAGCTCGAATTGGCCATTTTGCCATGATAGCTGTTCCCCCTGCCCGTCCTCTCAAACTAGGATTGTTGTCCGTACGTTCTTTTTGTGGCTGAACAGGCGTGGACCACACCGTACGCAGGTGGAGTTTGGCAAACTGCTTTGTCATTTCTTTTTGTACCTCATGCGTAGCTGTCGTTTCTGCACAGCAAAAAAGATTCACATCATACGATTGCATTAGATTGGCAAATTCATCTTGTTTTTTTCGAATGGCTGTTGGATTGAGAATAGCTAATACTGCACGATCCATAGAAAAATGCTTGGGTTTGGAAAAAGGACCTGGGTTTTTGGCTTCTCCAATGCGTGTGGCTTTCATTGGATCATGGTCTGACTTCAAGGCGGCTGGCAGAACATAGTTCTCATGTCGGTTGTATATTTGGGCGTTTTCTCGAGGGCAATCTATACACAATATGGCCAAAATGGCCTGCATGGACACTGTTTGGATATCTGTAAAATGCACTTTTGGATATCGGGAAGATGCTCGGATGGAATGATCTATACATCTATACACGGATGCACTGCTGTTTTCGCCATTTGGAGGATGATATGATGGAAATTGCAAGCAAAGTGCCATGGAAGTTTCAGTCCTAAGGCAAATTATGGATTGTGAGGCCTTGGAAAAAGGTCTCATGCAAACATAGTAGCCTCCAAAAAAGGCATATTTGCAACAAAAAGAGCAAACTAGAGCGTTTGGTAAAACCCTTAATTGCATATCACCTCCAATGCGTGGCTTTCAATCATCTTCCATGTCACCATCTGCATTTGCACGCGCCCTTTTGGGCTTCGCTTGAAGCAAGGCACGCAGCTCTCCCAATGTTCCATTCAACTGCACCGACTGCTGCTGGATTGCATTTTGAAAGGCTGATTCTAAATCACTTTTCACTGCCTGAATGGCAGTGTGCATCTGAAGCTGGCTCTGTTTCTCACGTTCCTGGACATTGAGAAATTCCTGCTTGGTGTCAGCCGTCAATTTTTCCAGCGCATCATTCATCTTTTGGATCTTTACATTCTGTTCATCGATCTTTGCATCTTGTTCTTTGAACTTTGTTTCGGATGGGCCTGTATTGGCAAAGGCCGGTGGCAGGCCTTTTTGTTGTGCTGCTGGTGCCCATGGATCTCCTTGCATTCCAAATTGTTCATTGGCATTGGTGGATCGCTTGGCATCACTTTTCCAAGGCTTCGGTCCTGCTACAATGGGACTTGGGGCCGTAGCATCTTTGGGTGGCAAGTGTTTCAATAAAACCGGCTTGCTGTTGAAGGTCAAAATGCCTGGCGGCGGATGCACCTTGCTACCAATCAGCCATGCATTTGGTCCCAAAGCCTTGATGGGATGGATATCCCAATTGAGCTGTTCACCCCATTTTCTGAGCATGTCAGCATTGCAGCCATACGGAAGACTCTGAGCATGGAAAAGCATGTTCACATCATGTGGCTTCGGTGTCGGTTTGCCTGGAAACAAAACACCCCATGCCTGGTCAAAATCAACTGCAGAAAAGCGAAGTCCCATGGAAGTTCGGTTCTTAACCAAGCCTGCACATCCATTTGTTTTTGACGCAAGTGAATTGAGGTGAGGCAAAGAGCCTTCAATCCAGATCACTCGCCATGTGCTGTCCAATCTCCCCATTCGATCTTTCGGAGTGATCCAAATCTTGTTGAATCCACTGGTGGTCAATAATGCCCGCAACTTATCCGTCTGTATGGTGGCATGAAACTGCAGGGAAGTGGCATGTTGGCTAGTGGTCTGTTGTTTCTGATTTCTCAGTGATCTGCCCCATGTCGCCTGAAGAATTTCATCATGTCCTTGAGAAGCAAGTGTCTGACGTACAAATGCAAAAGGGTGATCCACAATGTGACTCCATTCCTCAGTCTGCCAATCTTCCTTCCACAATGTGATAGCAATGGTAGTGCAGTCCATTTCATCAATCGCAGGCTTCTCCGATGTCATGGTTTTGACACATTTTTCGCCAAGCTGGACAACAGTAGCCTTGAGGATGACTGGTCTCATTGCTGAATCTTTGCATGGAATGTTCATGATCTCATGCTTGAGACTACCCTGAATCTCATGTTGTCCTGGAATAATCATTGCTAATTCATCGGCTGTGATGCGCTGTCCTTCTGCAATCCAGGGCGCTGCACTTTCATACGAGAGCATGACCACTCCAGTTGATTTGTGTCGTATTTCCTTTTGCTGCATGAGTGGTTGATCATTCTGCGCAAGGAAAAAGGAAGGTTCAATCTGGTATTCATTCGGGTCAATCTGAACCACAATCTTTTTTCTGGCACGAGTCTCACCTGCCTGGGCTGTTTTGGCAACTGCACGTGTCATCTTGGGCGGAGGAGTGAGTCCACAATCATCACAAATTTTAAGGAGGCTGTCAACTCGTTGTTTGCCAGGCGGCAATTGTGTGATGGCTGTTGTCTGCTTCAAGCCAACCTTGGACATGATTGTTTCAGTGGTTGGCGCAACCCAATCAATGGAAAAACCTTGTTCAAGCAAAGTTGCGGCAAGGGAGTTTCTTACATACGCCCTTTGAGACTCTTTCGTTCCTGTTCCACCAGAACATTCAGCAACCAACTGGAAAATGGCACTTTGATTGGCATTGTTTTGTGCAAGTTCTCCAATGGTGACATCACAATATTGCTTGGCCTTGTATACCAGTCGCATATTTTTTCCCAGAAGGATGGGGAAAAAACCAATCTGCAACAATGCAATCAGTGTTTGCACATTCAAGGATTGAGACACCGTTCCATCCCAAAGCGTCTTTCCTTTCCATTTCAGAACCACTCTGATCGCCCCTGTTTCAACTAAAGTGTCCAAGAGCGCTCTGTTTGTGACAACTGCGAGAAGCAAGGCGAATGCATCAGGCGGAAACGGGTGCTTCATCTGATACGTCACTTCTGTGATGCTTGGCAAATGCATGGCGTGCACAGAGATCTGCAGTGCTTCAGCGGATGCTTGGCTGAATATTTGGGTCCAGAATCGCTCAAGTGTTTTTCTCTGAATTTCTTCCCCTTGAATGGACAAGTTGAACTGCATGGCAATTTCACTCCACTGGAAAGACATTTGAGTTCCCAGAAATGCAGCCAGAATCATGCAAGCATATTGATCCAGTTCTTGATGAGAAATTCGGAAATCAAAGAACATGGTGTCATGATACAATTTCTGGCCAACCGAAATAATACCAAATTGGTCAAATCGGACTGATTCCAGGTTCAATTTGTCAAGTTGTTCTTGGTATTTGCCAATTCTTTCAAGCTTGATGAAAATAAGCGCATCTTCCTTGAGGCACGGTGAGGCAAACTGCTCCGGATGATCCATTTCCTGAAAGGAAACCTGATGTTTCAAAATGAATGCAAAACCGTCCTCACTGTCCATCGAGTCTTCCAGTGTCATTTTTCCATTGAAATGGCAACTCAAATCGTGTGGAGAAACATCCGCATAAGCCCACATGATCATGAGCCTCTTTGCTGTTTCAACCTTGATTCTGAGCAGTGGGTTGAATTTCATAGTGTCTGAAATGGCATCCACCTCTGTCTGTGCGCATTGTGAGATTTGTGACGCCTCTCCTTCACTTGGCTGTGGTTTGCAATCACTATTAAACAACCCTATGCTCGGTGACCATGCTTTTCCTTCAGGCAATTGAAATACACACTCTTCATTTTTGCAGAATTCATCATAATGTCTCATGTGCAGATCCCAATCGCATGAATTATCATCCTTGCGGACAAACATCGTTGCAAAGGATCCGGTCACAACTCGGCACTCAGATGCTTTCAACCTGTTCTGAAAGAGCGCATCAAAAACCTCATGCATGGACAACTTCTTATCAACAATCTTGAGCAAGTTAAGGGCATTGGTGAGCAACAGAGTTGCATGAGGACAGCAAATCATGTTTCCGACATTTTTCCATGCTTGTTTGAAATCATTCTCAACGAATGCTTCGCCATATGTGATGTGGCACATTTGGATTTCTGCCGGGTGCAAAAATCTGAGGTTTTCTTCGCAACTGCCAAAGAAATGACCATAATAGCCTTTCTTTTCGAGGGTGCTTCTGTCAAGTTCATGTTGCTGGCCATACATCGCCATGATTGTTGGAATGACACCGTTTTCATTCACCATCCTTGCATGCAAAACTTCTTGTCCTGATGCATTCTTCAAATGCTTCATGAAAGGCGGTAAGAAGCATGTGTCCTTGGCACAGGCTAGCATTTTCTCAGTGACTGTCAGCTGCATGCTTTGTGGAATGGGTTCTGGAAACAGTGCATCCAACATCTGCGGGAAAAGCTGTACAATCTGCGGCCACGATTCACACTGTACAGGTTCAATTTCTTGGGAATTTCGGTGAACTGCCAGTGCAAGCCATCTTAACCTGGAAACACTACCAAACTCGGATGCATCTAAGGTTCTCTGCCATATGAGCTTATAGCCTACTGCTTTGAGGACCTGGAGGCAATGTGTTTTATGCCTATGGGTGCTGAATCCATTGACTTGTTCAATCATTACCGCAATTGGTCTCAAAATTCGGCATCTCAGAATCGCAGAAGGCAAGAGACAACCCTGGTCGGAATCTAGCCCCAAACCTTTGGATGCGTTGCTGTACGGTTGACATGGGGAAGAAATGCTCATCAGAGGAACTCCCCATTCACTGACCATTGGCACCCATGCATCATCTTCCAAGCTAGCATGAATAATGAAATCACCATCTGCTTTGGCAAGGTTAATCGGTGCATGAGCTGTTTTCGGATCAATGATGGAGGCATTGTGTGACATGGCGTATGCAACACATGTACTCAGGTCAAATTCCAAACCGACAGTTTGAAATGGAATGCTGAAGTGGTCTTGCAAAAACCTACACGCATGTTTCCACCCTGCATAGGCACCTGCAAAACTTTCAAAAACATGAATCTTGTGTGTTTTGGTCAGCAAAGGTCGGTTCACTGGGAAAATCTTGGAATCATTGTCAAACGTCCATGCCGTGCCATCCAGTCGAGGTGGGTCAAATGAGTCTTTCACGTTCCACAAGAACATCTTTCCTGTCATCTCCACGGGTACCATCTTTTCACATGCCACCACAATAGGTTTCCCATTGTGCATATCAAAATGTCCTGGAAAGCATTTTCTCTGGTACATCTCATAGCTTGATCCCTCACAAATTGTAGGGATGCCATGCAGAAATATGTGTGACTCATGAAATTTCACCTCAACCTCATCCAGAAGAACATTTGTTCTGGGTTTCATCCAGTTTACCATCGCTTGGTCATAGATTTCAAACTCTTGGAGCAAACTTCGAAGCTTCGGAGGAAAATCATCAAAAGGAGAAATCCCCAACATGGCAACCAAATGTCACGGATCGATTAGTGTGCAGTCGGTGCACAACACTCACGCCGCGGGTAGGCTCGATCCAAATGAGCACCTGAAATAAACATCGACATAACCATCCATGAATAATGCAACAATTATAGATTAGTAATCACAATTATTATGATCCACATAATTGTTAATCCACATATAATTACGACCCACATAATTAGGATACATATATACTGTAAATCCAGATATTTCTATCCATAATTATGGATGATTATGGATTATATGTGGATTATAACCTAATTAATCTAATAAACATATATTATGGAATCCATCTAATAATAGATAATTATGTATATATATATATGGGTAAATTATAATAATTAACCAACCTGAAATAAGGCCATTTGGGGATGATTTCCCTTACTAACCATGATTCCAGTGAGGTCGTAGTGAGGTCGTTATAATTTACCCACATATATATATATACTGTAATATCATTATCTATTATATCCATATTATCTATTAATAATCCATTAATAATAGAATAATATGGAAGCCATATATATATACATATATATATATACATATAATCCATATTTTTCTATCACAGTCCACCTGAACTAAATCCCGTCGCCTCCTCCGAATCGATCACCGGCCCATTGGCGAAGGCTCCGGTTCACCAAGGCGGCACCGCCTGCCCGCGCGTCCGGTCCGACGAGGGACGGGTGGAAGGGAAAGACATGGTGAGTTCGTTCCATCGGCTTCATGGAACATGTCGGTTTTGGTTGATTTTGATGGTGAAGCGGATATTTAATGATATTTAGCTATGTTTTATGGTGGAAAATGAGATTCTTAGCTATTTGAATGATGCATTGTGAAGATTGTTGAGCAGTTTAAATGAAATTTGTGGATTTTGACATGACAAGAATGCGATTTCACAATGTGATGCTAACAGTTGCTGTAAAGACTACACATGTCTATGGGCATATCCATCCTGACCTGACATTCCGTAGCTACGTTGTAGCATCTGACAGGACCTACTGAGCACAACCTGACAGCTGGCTTGGGGTGAACAGTTTGAAAAACATAGATGAAGATAGTGGAAGAATTTGCTTATGCCAAACTAATAGTCCCATGTCAAACAATAGTAGAGCACATTACAATAACTCTAGAAGTACATGCCAACAACTGCAAGTTTTCAGCATAGTACAGTTGACCATAAGCCATCTTTTCCATTTGCAGTTTTGATACCAATGTACCATCATTGAATTAAATGAGACGTACGATGTGATCATATGTTTAAATATGATAAAAACAGCCCCAGACCTCCAATCATATCATCCTTGGTGATTTTTATCGGAGGTTTCCTAAAATGTGGGGTAGCCCCAAATCATCCATTTTCACTGGATTTTCCATTCACAAGCTACTTACCCTCTGGTAAGCGTTTACATCATAAACATTCGGGCTACAGTCCAATCGCCAAGGAATAACATGGACTTATCCATCATTTATTTATATGCTATCAAAAAATTGGGGCTACATAGCTGGATGGTTTATGATGTCATAAACCAACATGATTCCAATGGCTTTTCGACATCAACCATCCAGCTATTGGAGTAGCCCGGGGACCTGGTGCAAGCGCTTCGGCAAAAGCGGTATGGTAGTCCTCGGGATGCGTTTGGCAAATGTCTCGAGTCCAATGTCCAACGAAGCATCAAAGTCGAATGTCCTGCTTGAAGCATCAATTTGATAGGGGTTATATATAATATAAAAGACACAATATATATATATATATATTTATTTATGAACCATCAAAAATAAGGGAATCAACATGAAACAAATGAGCTTAACCACATCAAGAATTGGGATTCATGGCCATCAAACAATTGAAGTCTGGCATCAAACTAATTGAGGTTTTTAACATGCTTAACATGTCGGTTTCGGCACCATGTGGGTAAAAAGGGGTAAAAAGGAAATGTGACGCGAGCATCAAGAATGTGGGTTCAACCATCAAAGGCGAAGTATCAGACATATCATATCTAAGCATCGAAAATCATGGTTTAGTCTAAACAGTCAAACGTGGCCAGTGAACAATCTCCTCCACAAATAGGGGGTTCAAACAGTCACAAAATCTATGGTCTAGGTGACCACAAGCAGATTTTGAAAAGCAAATCAGCCGCCAAATTGCAAACTCAGCCGGGTGTTTCAGGTGGTTAATTGACACTGCAGCCATGGACATTGGTGATCTACCGATGCAGCTGACATGGCCATGACATGGCCATCTAATCCCTTCACCGGTGGTTCAAGGATACCAAGAGCAAGAATGCAACCATCAATTTTGGTGACATACTGTGGATGGTTAAGAAATCCTGCGCCACTTTGGATGTTTAAACCATGTTAAACCCGTATTCATCATGGGATGTTTACCACCGTTTTCAATTGGTGCAGAATGTCTCTCATTCTGGACTGATCATCCCCATACCTCATGTGTAATGATCAAATTTGCTTAGGCCATTGCCAAAACCACTTGATTTTCTTGACTCAACCCACATGTTTATTCGGTAAAAACAAAGGTTCCTTGGTTAAACCGACATGTTTTATTGATTGACAAAAACCCAATTGACACTTTACTGACAGCAAAACATACTCAAAACCAGCATTTTCCCTGGCAAAATCTCAGCATTCAATCCCATTGATCGACAGTTTTTCCATTGTTTCCACATATTTCCTAGTGAACCTATGGTTTTCCACATTTTGTTCCACATTTTTCCGCATGTTTCCTATTGAACCCCCACTTACCCTATGATTTTCCACCATCGGTGGCCACAACTGCCACGGTACCGCGCGCGCCATCTGCGAGGCCGTGATGAGGCCATCGTCGCCGTCGTCGCGCCAGTCCATGGACCAAGTGATGCACAGCAGTAGCACCTGCCGCTGGGATCGGGGTGAAATGGATAGGTCATTTATCATTATCATCAGTAATCTGTTATAGTAGTATGTTATAGTATTCTCAAATAATGTTCTATGGTAATTAGTCATAGCCATAGCTCTAGTAATATATATGTCATTAAAACATGAAGTAGCTATAGTTCTGTAGTCTATAAGTAATCATTTTCACCATCGTCATCATCAATATGTTCATCGTCATCACACCAATGGGATCGTTATCTTATTGTATGCTATTAGCATCCTGAATATCAGCCCAACAACTATAATTACCATTAACTACACCAAATAATGATCTGGTTGGTGGTTTCAACCCTCTGAAAAATATTCGTCAATGGGAAGGATTATCCCATATATTATGGAAAAAATCATCCGAATGTTCCAAACCACCAACCAGTTATGTTTATGTCATTTATTATCCCAATTTATGATAATTATTATCCCAATTATTGTTCCAAGTATTATCCCAATAATTTGATAATTAAGTGGTGATATCCTCAAATATATGAACATTATCCAATCATTATTTGGTGTAATTATGAGGATATGTTCACCATCATTACACCAATGTCCCAAATAATAATTAACTATGTTCTTATCCTCAAGTGATGATAATAATGATGTATATAGTATTATAATTATGTTCAAAATTCCAATTAATTAACTATGTTCATATTACATATCCTCATTATTCCCATGTAGTATTATTGTCCATAATAATAGTAATAATAATAATAACTATGTTCATATCCCCAATAATTTGATAATTACACCAAATAAGTGATGTTATCATGTCCTCATTATTTGGTGAAAAATTCACATTACTGGTGTTTTTTACATCATAATAATCTGGTTGGTGGTTTCAACCATCTTGAAAAATATTAGTCAATGGGAAGGATTATCCCATATATTATGGGAAAATCATCCAAATGTTCCAAACCACCAATCAGTAATTAACTATGTTCATACCATGTGATGATCATTCCCCGATGAATCCCCTCACCTCCGCCAGTCGCTGCAGCTCCTCCGCTTCAGCCCTCAGCTGCACCGCTGCTGCCTGCTCTGCGGCGGCGGGCGAGGCCTCGCGGCGTTTTTTGTTTTGGGCCTTTGGGATGGGGAGAAATTGGATTGGTTGAGATGTTTTAGGTGTAAAATGTTTGGAAAGTGTTGGAATGCTTGTCATTGTTGATCTGTATACATATATATGATATAATTATTTCATTGAGTACATAGATTTAGATACCCCTTATGAACAAATAATTTTGTGGGAGATTCTTGAGTGATTTTCTCAAGTTAGGGTTTAACACTAAGTCATTCACTTCAGATTCACCCGCGTTTCCTGCCGCAGCTTGGGTCATGAACTGCTGGCCGCCCCGAGATTGCCATCTTGCAGTCTTGTTTGATGTTCAGAATTGGTATCAACATGCATCAAAATTTTGGGCTGCTACATATAGAAACTCCGTTTATCATCGTTTATCATGGTTTCTATATGTGTTTTCATGCCATTTCAGATTGGACACTCGACATCAACGCTGGACATCGGATGGTCTGACAACCTCGGACGTCCTTCATCTTCAGCTGCTTGTGACAGCTATATATATATCCCCCCGTGTTATGCAAACACTTCACAAGGCTAATTAACATAAAGAAGTCCCAATAGCCAAATGATTGGGTATATAGTATAACCCATATGGCTCAAGTATATAATATATATATATTATAATATAATATAATATAATAAATTATAATATAATATAATATAATATAAATATAATATAATATAAATATAATATAATATAATATAATATAAATATAATATAATATAATATATATAATATAATATAATATAATATAATATAATATAATATATATAATATAATATAATATAATATAATATAATATAATATAATATAATATAATAATATAATATAATATAATATATATATATAATATAATATAATATAATATAATATAATATATATAATATAATATAATATAATATAATATATATTATATAGATATATTACCCAAAGGAACCTTAGGAAACTCGCAAACTCCGCTCAACTCCCAAGGCTCCCAAGGCCTCAGCCCTTTGGTAAGCGATCTCTTTGGCAATCGCAGCTCCCTCTGCGGGAATCCCAAGAGTTTGATGCTTCATCCCTTGAAAAATGCGAAGATTTTGATAAGGTACCCTCATGGGAAAATCACCATTTTTCATGGGAAAACTCACTATGTCTATGGTGATTTTCCATAGCTATGTTAAATTACCAGAGGGTATCCCTAGAATTGCCGATATTTTTGGGGTGTCCAGGTTTTGACCCACATCCGGACCTCGGACCCTTTGGAGATGTACTGACATATCCATTTCAGTTGGTTTCGAGGTCTTTCAAGTCATGAAAACAGGCTAAGAAACCCACAACTCTAGTCATATGGAACACCTAATAAATAACCATCCCATGAAAACCAAGCACAATAATGTAACATATTGGATTCGTCAACATTGGGAATTTTTGTGGGTTTATGGTGGATTAAGCCAACTTCAATGGCGAAGATCACTGGAACTTTCACTTGGTGACCTGGTACGATCCTGGTGGCTGGTCACTGGAACGGTCAAATGCTGGGCGACCTTCACAGTCAGAAAAAAAAACACACAGGAATGCTCATGCATTAAGATAGTTTTCAATTTTATGTGATAAACCCAATGCCATAATATAAAAAAAAACAAGTTGGGCTTAGGAAATTGGGTATACCCCAGTATACCCCTACGACTGGCATGACGCACAAGTATTGCGATATTCATCAATAATCATCATAGCGGAAATCACTTGTGTCACCACTATATCTTCATTTAGTGCATTTCAAAATAATCACAATTGCCATGAAAATTATGGATCAAGCCATGTATAACAGCATGATTTGTGAAATGTGGGTAAAAACATGCCATAAACCACCCATGACTGGGAATGGTTTATACCACCTATAAAAAAGGTGATGACTGGGGGATGGTTGATGATTGTTTTACCCACATTACGGTCATTATATGGTATATAAATGCATATAAGGTATCTATAAGGTATCTAAGTGTTCCCCAACGATAGATGTACACTTTCCCGTTGTTTCCCGTTCTTTGTTTCGGACGTTTCCGGTGCTTCCAACCTGCTTCGCCACGCGGGCTCCAGCGACTTTGAGCTGGGCAGCCTGGTGAATCACCCTTACAAGGTGGTACCCAGTTATAAGTTAGTTATAAGTTATAGTTCGTTATATCATGTTATATCTACGAACTAATCCTAGTGATTGTAGTTATGTTCACCAACTTAGCGATTCCGAACTGGGGCACCACCTTGTAGTTTTAAATCGGTGGTACACTGGTGAATTGGTCGGTTGATAATTCCAATGACCATGGTTTATGGTAGATATAACGAACTAGTTAATGGGGTTTATAAACCAACCTTATAGCGGGGGGGGCACCATCGTGTAGTGAATGGAAGTCCCCATTCAGTGAGTTCTTCCATAGCTTATGACAACATGTCCATCAGTTCCTGGGCTGATCCTCCAGGTTTGGGATGTTTTTTTCTGCTATACAAAGCATCAGGAATGGTCCTGATGGTTAATCTGATTTAGCCAACTCATATATATATATGATGATTAAAATACAAAAGGTTAGAAAAACTAGACATCCTGAAGTAGATAGAACATATATTGTTGAACATTATTGTACACCATTTTAGCGAGTTCTCTTGACATTTCCATGTTCTATTTCCTTCAGGATGACGATTATGGAACATCATGCATAACTATAATGGGGATGTACGGTGTGTGTGTATATATATATAAAATTATATATACTGTAATCTGTATTATAATGGGAATAAAATCGGATGTAATGCAAAATAGGAATGTACTGAGGATGTACAATGCAATTAGTATACAATAAATACTACGTGATCAAATAGGGATAAATGAAATGCAATTCAACCACCACACATGTTAATAGTGGTTTCGAATCAGGGCCAAAACAAGTTGCCACAACACCAAACATGCTATGATAATGTGGTATACCTAACAGACATCCCATGAAAACCAACCATGACTGGGGGGCTGTTTTCATGCCAGTCATCGGGGATGATGGTCCCGCGCCAAGTCATCCTTTTTGATTGTTGACATCTGGTTTTTGATGCTGAAAAAATCTAACTTTTGACGATTTATCATGTTTTATCTCTCAATTAATGTGTCACTTCCGAATGTTTGATAGTTGCACTTATCGTTAAAGTGGCAAACTCAACCATAAACAATACCCAAGTGTACCAGAAATGGTTGAGTCTTTAATCCATTCCCAAACAGCAGCTTCTTGTCGGCCTTTGCCCATTATTTTGATGTGTTCAAATCGAAATTGTTTGAGTAATATTCCTAGTTCTTGACGGTCAAATCCCTGTTTCAAATGCTTAACTCCCGAATTTTCTTCCCTAAAACATGTGAATGTTAAAACTCCATTCTTCTCATCAATCTTTTCTTAGTTAAACCAAATTTAACCACATTAAACCACGTTAAACCACGTTGCACCAAATTACATCACCATTTTGGCTGGTTAAATCGTTAAATCCCTGACCATTCACAACAGGTTCAACAGGCCCCTTTCCCAGCCGAAAGACCAACTTCTCTCGTTGCGCTTGCTGTCTGCTGAACTGTGCTTCAGCCACCTTCAAACACCTGTGACGCAGCTGCGAAGATTGCTGTACGATGTGGGGCCCCCAAGATAGCTAAGTTGGTTTATAACTCCAATAACTATGGTTTATGGTACTTATAACTATAGTTAATGGGGTTTATAAACCAACTTATAACTGGGGGGGCCCACATTGTATCAACCATGGCTTATATATATATATATAAAGTGTATATGTGCCATGGTCAAAAACATTGTATATGGGATATGGTCACACATCCTGCAATGGGGAATTGGTTTATATGGAGAACCCCAAAATCAATGGTTCCCCAATGATTCAAGAACCAAATTTTGCCTGCCATTGAGGTCCCCCCATTCGGAGAAACTTCCATAGTAGTATATGTGCCATGGCCCATGGGATTAATGAGGTCTGGTCATCCCGCAATTGAAACTCTATTGGACAGATGGCCATCTCAGGCTGCAACTTTCTGATCTAAAGCGCTGGGTGCTGTTCGCATTCCCAGCTTGGCCAAGTGTCCAAAGCTGAGCTCTTTGACATGTCCCTCCATTTTGTTCGATAGCCAACGCTGTCACTCATTCAAGCACAATTCAATACTCAACTCCCACTTTGATGGCTATCCCAGTTTTCGTTGGTTAAACCACGTTGAAACAGTTTCAACCACCATTAGACCCCTATTTCGACGTAGGTCAAACCCCACCTCCGTTCCTCCTCGCAACGCCGTTGCAAGCGCCAGCATTTGGGCAGGCTTAAGAGGAACAGCAACGCCTGGCTGTGACGCTGTCTGACAGATAGAAAATAGGATAGATTTAAGCTAATGTGGAGAATATAATGGTTAATACGGGAATACATGTGGAGAATAATGGAGAATATATAATGGAGAATAATGGGAAATTAACATAGACCCTGAAACTCACCTACTTTAGTGGAAACTAATCTTGAAACCCCTATCTGCCAGGGTCTATGTTAATTTACTGGAGGGTAACCAACAACATGGGAAACAGTGTATGGAGAATGATGGGTAACAGGATCACTTTGGAACACAGTTCCAAGCATCACTTTGGAACACAGCCTTTTTGGATAGCTTTAGAACACAAAATGATACATTTTGTCTTCCCACAGTTGACACACAAACATCAAACTTACTGACAGGCGCAGCACTTTGGAAGCCTCGCGCGTTCCAATCCCAGATTTTGCCCTTACATCATCACTTCCACTGCCATGCCTATTCCTACTCTCTGACCTTGGAATTCACTGTGCTCAACTACCAACCCATTGAGGGTTGATTTGGGGGGAGGGGGGAGGTCAATACCAGCCATTGACAGAAAAACATCTACTTACATCATCATGTCAGCTTCCTTTCGAAGGTTAGAACAAATGACTCAGCCCACCCTAAGGGGTCTTACTTTTCTCTTGCCTTGGCCATCCTTATGCTCACAGCAGCCATTTAGGGTTTATTTGGGGGGAGGGGGAAGGTCAATACCAGCCATTTACGGAAACAGCCATTTAGGGCTTATTGGGGGTTGGAACTTCTACTTACATCATCATTTCAGTTTTCTTTCAAAGGTTAGAACAAACTTCCGCCAAGCAGACAGAGACCGACACAACAGAAAAGGACAGCAAGTGAGTTCCCAGCACAATTGAGAGCGAGGAAGGAAACCCGGCAAGCAGCACGGAAAGCAGCACGGACAAAGGAGAGAAGCAAGCCAACCCCAGCAAACCCACGAGGGAGGACAGCAAAAGCCTGGACTCCCCCCAACTTTCCCGGTAGTTGATGATGATGATGATGATGATGATGGTGGTGGTGGTGGTGGTGGTGGTGATGGTGATGATGGTGATGATGGTGATGGTGTCATAGATATGTGGTCGTTGATGGTGATGATGATCATGATGATCAGGCGCGTTCCAAAGCGATGCATTTCGGCGCTTTCCAAAGCGATGCTTTTCTGGCGTTCCAGAGCGAGGACCTTTGTAGAATAATGGGAATATAATGGTTCATAAAGGCTAATAATTGTTAATGATTGTGATTAATGATGATTCTTAATGGTTTAATCAAATGGGAACATATAGAGAATCATGGACATGTATGGTCAATCATGGTGACACACAAGAAAATAATGGGAAGACAATGGGAAAACCATGGGAATAATATGTTGATAATAGTTAATAATGGTAATGATGCTTAATGGTGCTTGACAACATCGGAAACATATGACGGTTTCTTAAAATCGGGGATCCCCAAGACACCGGGGTTGTTTCAATACTAGTTCATGGTTACCCATGACTTGGATGATTTGGGGTACCCCCATGACTTAGGAAACCCCCTGTGGAGTGGGAGTATAATGGGATAAACCAATCACAACTCAGTCAGCCATCCAGCGATGTTTTCGCCACGGAATTGGAAACCATGAAAACCCAAAAACATGAAGTATGCCAGTCATTTGATGGGATTTAATGGTGACGATATGGAATCTAATGGGAATATAGACACTTGGAATATGTACAGAAAGTTGGAGGTAACCACTAGATTCTAGATGATGGGGGAGATATCAACCAGCAAGCGGAATTCTTTGGGCCACAATGCAACAATAAACAAGGCATAAACAACAATAAGGTATGTGAAATAATATATAATGGAATAATGGAACAATATGCGAAAATCATATGAGCCAAAAGTGGGAATGATAACACGATAACCACTAGAAAGTTGAAGGTAATAGGGATTTCATGGAATATCAATGGGAATATATGATGGCATAATACAAGCAACCAACAATGAGGTTTTAAAGAGTGATCAATCATCAAATCTGACCATGTTCCCATCATTTTTCTGATCATATTCCCATTGTTTTCATATTAGAGTTTCCCGTTTTCCCATCATTTTCCCATCATTTTCCATCAGTTTCAGGTTCAAACCCCACCATCGCTGCACTTCACCACCATCCCTTGCCGCGCCAGGACGGCTGCCAGCCACGGCTGCCAGGCGCCAGCGCTGATGGCCGCCAGTGCCACAGCGGTGGTAGCCATCGGTTGGACATGTTGCGTTGGCACCAAGATGTATCATGTAAACGATGGCTGGTTGGTGGTTGAGCCCTACCCCTCTGAGAAATGATGGAGTTCAAGTCAGTTGGGATGATGACATTCCCAATATATGGAAAAATACTGTAGAACATGTTCCAAACCACCAACCAGATGGAAAGGTGCTTCAACCAACAGTAAGTAAAATATGAGATCAGCCACAAAAAATATATTGTGGTTTCTTGATGAAATAGTGATGTGAGACTTCGGAAGCACAGTATGTTTAACTCTAGGTGCTTGTACCCATGGTTCACCAACATCATTTGGTTTGTGGGATCCCTATCTTCAATATGGAAAGGTGGTTTAACCTATGTTTAATCAACACAAAATGTGGTTTTCATCATGTTTAACCAACAATACATGGTGGTACCAACAAAAACTGGTGGTTTCTAGATAAAATAATGGTTTGATTTTCTTCACCCAACACAAACATGACGGTTTAACCAGGTTTAGCCCACAAAAATGGTTGCTTTGGGGTTCAATAAACAAGAATATGATGGCCAATCTGGAACTGTTTACATAGGGAATCCATCAACATGTGCGGCTTTCAATCAAAAAATGGGGAGATGAACATCGATTTGCGATCGCTATGTTTGCTGATGCCTTGGCCCATGGCATGGGTAGAGGGTCAAGTGGAACCTTTCGATCTGTTACTGGTCCGGCCGCGAAGCTCCCATGGCCCAATGCCCCCCCCCCTGCGACACGATTTTCCAGCACCAATGAAACTCGACTGTACAAGACCTAAACAGTTCAGAAGAAATCAAGATGGAAAGATCGAATTCGGCAGTGAAAACTGCAAAGATTGCAAGAGAGTGAATTTGATTGCTCAACAAGAGCCTTGCTTGTGCTAGCTGCTAGCTTAAGTGTCAAAAAAAAACAAACAATCATTTCCGACATCTCAAGGAGATATTCGCGGCTCGGGGGCTTCGTCCCATCTAAAGCAATACCGTCTTGGAAACATCACTGTGTTGGCTCCAAGCCCCTAAGTTACTGCATGTTTCAACATGAAATCCATCAGTAGCGTGACTCGCGTGACCATTCCTCTCCTGTTTGATGCAGCTTGGATGCCGCGGCCGTCCCGGCAGTATCTGCTCAAGTTACATGAGATGAATGGTCTGTGGTCATCACAATATCGGGAGTCCAAAGATCATGTATTAATATATTCATAATGAGGGCTATATTATACAATATTATATAATCCTCTATGACAATATGCAAAATATGGTATAATGTATATTAATATATGATATCCACATCATATTTCAATAACTCCCCCAACTGGCCATGGCATCCGTTACCTGCTGAACCCGTGGCACGAGGCAGGTCTTGACACTGATTTTTCGGACCGAGCTTAGTGACAGGGGACCCGTTAAGCCATGGGATTTTCTATGACCAAGACTGGGGTAGCCATGGGTAGCCCTAGATCCATTGGTTCACCATGATTTTCCTCATCAAGCTTGCTATCACTACTGGTTGGTGGTTTCAACCATCTTGAAAAATATTAGTTCGTCAATGGGAAGGATTATCCCATATATTATGGAAAATAAAAAATGTTTGAAACCACTAAGCAGACTATGATTCTCCTTATCAAACTTACTATCACCGTGATTGTTCTTATCAAACTTTCTACCACCATGATTTTCTTGATCAAATTTTCTGTTGTGGAGGTGTCGCTTGCATTTTCAGACAAACCCCAGCATCAATTACAAAGCTGAACAATCAAATGGGCAGGTTGAGAATTTGAAGAGCTTCCCAACTCCGAGATTGTCCAATTTGATTTGCACATGCTTCAGACATCTGAACCTCTGAACTCGTCATGGACACAGTGTTTCAATCTGTCTCACAATAAAGCATTCGAGGACACCATGGTCTATACTCTTATTTACCAAACGTTCATTGCCGATCCTAGATACCATAAAAACTGCGCTCTTTGGCTAGTTAGTATTGGTCACTAACCTTCACCGTTTGGTGTTGCACCATTTTTGATGTTTTTGGGCCACATATTTTGTTAGAAAACCATAATCCCCATACGTTTGGCTCCAAATCCCATAGTCGTATCATTCATCACATTGTATCCGAAAACATCTCCCAATCACACCCCCCGTAAAATGATTCTGTATCCCAATCATGTATCCCCGTGATATCCCCAATATTTTTGGTTCTTTTTTCTATTCTATACCCCTTTATATTCCCACAAAGGAGTCAATCTACAAAACAAATCGAAATGTTTTTTGGTCAAACCACCATTTTTCATTGTATATAAAACCCCCCGTGTTGTGTTTAAACCGTCCCATGTTCGATCAATGCCAGTCGCCAGTCATTTCTCGTCAGAGGCCCAACCAGCGTCAAGGACCTGAAGGATCCCCTCGTCCAATGACTGGGATGCAAGGTACCATAGCCGTGTTCAAAATTCCTTCATATTTGCGGAGAAATCGAAGCTTACATAGGAAATCATAGGAACTTACGATCGCAAAAACGTTTTCCAAGGTTTTGCTGCAAAACAAATTCAAAGAATTAGATTGCTACGCCTCAGCAAACGCTGAAGTGGCTCTTTGTAGTGTCATGTTTCTCATGCGTAGCGATGTTTTTTGGGCCCTGATTTGCCCACAGGCATCTTGCATCGTGAAGGAGGGTTTTTCCTTGATGACTTGTGGGACTCCGTTTCACTTGTGAGACCTTAAAGTGTGATCTATATAATCTAATAATTCTATACTGCTATAAGGCATCCTACCTTCTCACATCTTCACCTCTGTCTCTTGCCCCCCAAAAAACCTCTCCTTTCCTTGACGAACGACCAGGCCCACCGGCTGCCTGGCTCACCTACAACTGGGGATATTGGTGGTATGTAAAAACCATTCCCAGTCATGGGTGGTAAACATGGCATTGTTTTCCCCACATATCATATGTGTGACTGGCTTCATAAATGTGCTTACTACTTCCTAGCCACTAAGCATGGCCACCAATTCGATCTGGTTTGTGGCTGCCCAAATGGAACTGGGAACCAATTATCAATTCGCTGAAAAAATCACACACTCTGCACATCGCCAGTTTGTCCAGTTATCACCAGTTCCCCATGAGTTTCCCAATGGCTCACTCCGTGGTGCACCTTGCGCATGACGTGCAAAAAGGACAAAAAGTTGATTTCCTCTTTTCTAAGGTCATCCCCGCTGCTCTCCACCGCAGATCCTGGGAGGCAGACCCAAAGGGGTCAGACGATTAAAGCAGCCAGCCGGTCCCATCTGGAGCTTTTCTATGGAGCTTTTCTAAAATGTTTGGGAACCCCAAATCATCCAAGTCATGGATGACCACTTTAGAAACTTGAAACCATTTGAAACCCATGGTGAATTGGGGATTCCATGGGATTCCTATTTTTGAGAAATCCAAAAATATCTGAACCTCCCAACCAGACCCTATCCCTATAGCAGTGAATGTCTCCCTCTATAGGCTGTGTTCCTCAATCGGTTTGGATACACCGACACCTACAGTATGCAGTGGTTCAGTGCTTGGTACATCCCGTGATTGGTTGGGTGATGTGTCAAATCCCAAATGGATTTGTCTGGAAATGGGGTACCCTTAAAAATCACATTGTTTATTGTGGTTTATCATAATGTTCATGTACATATTAAACCTTATTGCCATTTCAAATGCTATACCATTAAATAAACCATTGGATGTTTAGATATTTTTAGGGATAATGGGATACCACCACATAGTGTATCCGTAGGTTTCCCCATTAGACCTGGTACAAAACCCCCCGACCCTGACATTCCGCCATGATCTCATGGCAGGGTCGCCATGTGTGTTGGAAAGGTGCTGGTGTCCCCGGTTCGATAAGTGGATAGAATACAATCATTATATATTATGTATACAGATATATATATATATGTACATATAGGCTACATATACATATACAATTTATATAACCTTTAATAGATGATGCATATAAATAAATATTAGATCATTACTTTATTATGTCCCCATTCTATAACTATCAATAGATGATGATAGATGATGCATCTAAATCAATGGATGATTCATCATAATTCATCCCAAGTTTCGACAAAAGATCAGCACTTTCTGACTTTCCTTCTCCTGAGCTGAGGATGAAAGTCTTCATGATTCCTCAGCTTGGGAAACTCTGATTGTAGCTCCACCTGATCCCCCCAATGGAATCTATAAGTATTTATATACATATATATATATAGGAATATAGATATTTATAGATACCCCTAGCTCCGAGCCACGCCGACTACTGACTACTGGAAAGTCTACAGACTTCTGAATCGCCTCACGTCTTCGCCAAGTCACACTGAGATTGAAAGAGCCTGCAATCATGTCCTTGACTTCTTCAAATGTCAACCTGGGACATTTAAGGGATGAAGTTTGGCCTTCGAAAAAGTCTTCTAACTTCATAATATGGGGGATGAATTTGCCAACAGATGCCACCTTTAGGTCTCTTCTTCTGGCATGAAATTGGATCTTGCAGTGAACAATGGGCAATTCGGATCATCCAAGGTGGTATTCATGAAAACACATCAACAAACATCAACAAATCACTGATCAATTCCAGAGTCATTGAATTTAAGTGTGTATCCAACACCATCTCTTGGAGTTCCATATTTCCTCCTCTGCTGCATTCGGCGACCATCGGGCTTCCTCCAACTATCCGTTTCAGGACCAGAGCGACAAGGTGCCATCAGCATGTTTGCGGGTCAAATCCTCATGATTGATGTCAATTCCTCGATGGTTCATGGTTAAATCAGTAAATCCGTAAATCCACTATCTTTTAGGCTTTACATTTGAAATCTCCATGTTCTTTCCCATGTTCAGGGCTTAAACGTCCAATTTGTTTAAACATTTTCAAGATCTCGCTTCAAAGGTCACCAAGCTGCGTTCCACGGCCAGCTTCCAGGAAGAACATGTGCAGATCCGCCGCCTCCTGTTGCAGC